CTGAGCTCACACAAAACCCTAAACCCTAAACCCTAAACCCTAAACCCTAAACCCTCGTTTCATATATATAGATATAGATATAAACCACAATCTAAAACCCTCAGAATCCACTACATCAGGAGCAGCAGAAAAAGTTGAACATTTCGGTGTTTCAAATAACCCCTACTCTCTAAACTCTAGGGTTTCCTAGGGTTTACAAGGGTTTACAAGGGTTTACGAGGGTTTACGAGGGTTTAGGGTTTACGAGTATTTGTATGGCGAGAATTCCCAAAACCTTTCGCACAAAAGAATGCCGAATCTGCACGGAGACCTGATCGCTTATTTGCATTTCGCCGGCGGCGGGTTGCTGCGGCCCCAGCTCCATAGATACAGGCCCTGAACACACAAACCCTAAACCCTAAACCCTAAACCCTAAACCCTAAACCCTAAACCCTAATTTTTTTGGGGGGAAAAAAGAATTAAGTCGTATAAGTACACGGGCACTCAGATACAACAATTGTAAAATTTGAACAATACTAAACCCTAAACAACACTAAACCCTAAACCCTAAACCCTAAACCCTAAACCCTAATTCATACCTGTGGATGCAGGTTTTCCATACATTGGGGGCTGCTGCTGCGCATAGCATTGGCCTGCTGCTGCTGCTGCTGCTCCTGGGTAAGCAGGTGCAGCAGGAGGGTACGGGGGGGCCATACCCGCATAGGGGCCCCCATATGCACCAGGGTACTGCTGGGGGCCCCCATACGCTGCACCGTACTGGGGGGGGGCCCCATACGCCGCTGGGTACTGGGGGGCCCCCTGGGGGCCCCCATACACCTGGGGAGGGGCCTGAACACCATAGGCGTAGCTGGGGGCCCCGTATGCTGCTGCAGCTGGCGGGGCACCGCCGGGGGCCCCCTGGGGCCCCTGGGGCCCCTGGGGGCCCCCGGGGGCCCCCGGGGCGGAACCACCCTGCGCTGCAGGGTCCTGGTGAGGGGCTGCTGCTGGGTATGCAGCCATAGTAGCTGGGGTGCTGGGGTGTATAGGCAGCTTAAACTGAGTTGAGATTCTATAGAGTGAATGGTTTATAAGAGAAAAAAGAAGAAAAGAAAACAAAAAGAAACGAAAGCAAATGAAGGAGAGAAAGAACAAGGCAGTCGCGAGCTCTCGGCTGATGCCGCAAA